TCCTTGTCGCACGGCCATTGACGGCAGTCCTGCCAGGCTGGCCGGCGCGTCGAGCCTTCCTACGCTCTCGGAGCGGGTACTACACTCGCCAAGCGAGACCTGCGCAGACGGCCCTGCCCTCAATGGTATCGTATGTTCCACCCCCTCCCCACACCCCTATTAAACCAGCTGAGACCCTCATAGACAGCTCACATCCTCAGTACCTGGAAGATGGGAGGGTATCAATTATGACCGACGCTCCGTAGTCGCATGCAACACATCAGGGCACCCCCGAACTCAGACCACGGTTCCCACAGAGACATTTTGTACCGGGAGGCYACCACACCCAGTCGCACCMWATATCCCGGTGGCGCCCATCCCTSCTATGGACGAACCCGTTTGAGGCACCYCCTCCCGAAGAGAAACTAGCCYACTCCTACTCCTAGCTACCTCCCCCCTACGTGGACCTGWYTTYTTMAGGATTTTTCKGATTTTTTTYGGTMAAGCCCCCAGGCGGTAGCGGCCCCCACAAGCYGACGCAGTTTCCGCCTCCACGACCCCGTATTTTTGTCGGGGCCTTCAATCCCTCACATCGTGCCCRGCYATATTTTTATGCCCACACGGAATCCACCACGTGCGCATCATCAGCGCAACCCGRCAATTCCCACATCGACAACGTGAACCCTTCCCCCAAGGAACAGACTGCAGCCGGGACTCGATCCCCCCAACACCGACTCCAACCCGCAACAACCGGTGTGTGGATGGCTATGCGCTATGAAAGTGCGAAACGGCAGCCTATGCGCAAGGAAGCGGATTATAACCCGCAACCTTATACCACAATGCGCATTTCTAGCCGGTATCCTAACCACTCGGACTCTTGGCATCCACGCTCTCATAGTTTGTTTGTTTKTTTTTTTGCCAAAACACACCCCGCTGGGGTGCTAGTGATACTGGTGAGAGCAGGTATCACTAGCATCTAGGGGGGGTCCAGTCTATTGATGGGGAGCAGCACCTGCAGGGAAGCGGGCCCAGCGTCCCAGAGTACAGATAGAAAAGTCAAGAGAGAAGACCAGGGGTGTCGGCGCTGTCCTAGGGCAGCGACGCCTGCGGCAGGGATTGCCCGAGGCACTAATTCAGTTTGGTCATTCCCGGGGGTCCTTTCTGTTGGGAGGCGTAAGCACCCAGACGCAAAAGGGATCCCCAGGGATGACGAATTCTGCGATGCCTAAAGGCAAGCCCCTCGCTCCCCCTGAGAATAGTGAACGTGTGCCTCGAAAGTATCATGTAAATTYRCCCCTTGCYCCTATGAGTCCTGCAGGCCAGCGSTCGCYGTCACTAACCCAAACCCACCTACGCGGCAAGGGAGCCTTTACTGGGTTGCCTRTTAACSRTTTTGYTCAATGGGATAAATCTATCTCCGCRAYCAGTCAAATTGCTCARTTTGAACTCTCGAAAATATCTATCAACCTTTTGTTTAGCAGGACAGATCTATCTCTACGAACAGTCAAATTGCTCAATTTAAACTCTCRAAAGTATCTATCRCCCGATTACTTTTTTACAACAMACAGCTYAAAAATCCGACTATCTAACCAGGGCCACRTTTATTTACATCCCAAAAGAACGTCTATCTCTTTATCTACACCCCAAGAACACAAGTGAGATCCGAGCSTGAGGTCCATCGTCTGCAACTCCACCCAGAGAGATCCAAAGGCGCATGGTCACCGCTCCTCAATGCCTTCGGCTAATGGATCTATCATCCGGCATAGACCCATCGCCACGATCCAGGCTGCTCCTCAGTGCAGAGCAGTCTGGGATACGGCGCCCAGGTCTGACGAATCAGGGGCCATGCTGCCTGCGACTTTCTTTTGATGTCCGTAGTAATGGTGGTTCGAAGGTTTGTGAGCATGATCGTGCGCAGTGCCACAAAGGTTGGCGGCCGGTGTTGAAAGAGGAGCTGCGTATGAAGCGCCCAGACCACACCCAGGAAGGCCGCTATGATTATCTCGATAGCGTATGCTCGCGGGCCGCGTATCGGCGGGCTCAGGAAGGCCAGGCCGATCATTAGGCCATCATTCTAGGCTTCCGGAGTCATACACTCTATGTCGTCCCCGACCTCCCGTCTCCACCATTCCCAAAATTGTTGTTGCGGGGCGCAGCCATACCATATATGGGGAATATCCTCGCAGTCTGCGTCGCAACCCAGGCACTTCGTATCAGAGAATGACAAGCGATTCGCAATCGACTGGTTCGTTGGGAGGGCTAGATGGATATTCAGCCACAGTAGCCCTGCATGCTTCTGATTGGGGAGGGCCTGGAGGTGAGTGACCGTAGCCTTCCAGGCCCGCGACGTCCAGTGTTTGGTGCGGTCTTCCGCCAGCCATCCTTTCCTGTTCCATTGGTGGCGCAGCTCCTGGTCCATCCGGTAGGGAGGCGCTAGCGATCTGTAAATAGTCTTTGTACAGACTTGGTGCAGCAGGAAAGGTTGGCGTTGCAGGCCTTGTGCTTTCCAGGTCCACATTGTCGGTTCGACAGATAGTTGAGAGGGCCGCTTTTCCGCACAGAAGACGAGGTGCACCGCTGACGATGCAGCTCTTCTGTCTGTGACCACCGTGATTGGTCGGACGAGGTTTCGAGGCAGCCAGCCAGCCCTAGCCAAAGACCGGACGAGGGGGGGGCCGAGTAGGCCATTGGTCGGCACGTTCTCACAGGCTTCCGCCACCAACCAGTCATTTCCCACCTGCGCTTGGATTTGGAACACCGTCCGGACAGGGTCCTCAGAGGCCATCACAACCCACTCTCGCTCAAACTTCTTCTAAGATCTGAGGGCCTCTATCCATTCTACAGGGATAGCCTGTTTAACACGGTGGAGACGGTCCAGTTTGCGTGTCTGTCCTTCCAATTGTTTAAGTACCGCCCGCTCCTTCCTCCAGTCTTTTCCTTGTAGGTCCCAGAGATCCGCCACACGTGCGACCCCTGCCTTGAGCCAAGCTTTTCCAAAGGCTCCCTTGGTACCTGTCCATGGAAACGGCACTAGCCCCACTTCATCACAAATCTGTGGGTTACCAAATAGCGGTTGTTGAAGGATTTGCTCTATTGAGGTTGGCGAGTTCAGCGAGAGCGGCTCCAGGTCCCTCCAAAGCTTTAAGAGGGGTGACCATAGGGCCTCCCGCTTGAGGTCCGTCAGAATGGCCAGTTGCAGAAGGGCAGTTTCCATGTCCGCCGGATGTACTCGCGCCGCTTCAGCCATCGTCTGCAGAGTCAAGATCTTCCAAGGGGCATCGTCTCGTTCCATGAGGAGCCAGAGCACCGTGCGGAGCTGTAGAGCCTGAACTTGGGTAGTCGGGTCAATCAGTCCCAATCCACCGCCCCTTCTAGGCTGTGTGAGTTTATGCCACGAAATTCAATGAATTGCCTGCGGGGCGAAGGGATCATTCTTCCAAACGAACTTAGTCAATGCAGTTCGTACTGGAAATCAAAATCAAATGAGCTTTTGCCCTTTTGCTCCATACGAGAGATCTGTTCTCGTTGAGCTCATCTTMGGACACCTGCGTTATCTTCTAACAGATGTGCCACCCCAGCCAGACTCCCCACCTGACAATGTCTTTCGCTTGGATCGGACAGGCCACGAGGGCCTGCACCTTGGATC